GGGGGGGGGCCCCCCGCGGCGACCCCATAGAAGAGTAAAACGAAGCATGATGAAGCTCAGCCTGCAGCAGACGCTGCTGCTGCTGCTGCTGCTGCTGCTGCTGCTGCTGCTGGTTGGATAGAGAAAGAGAGAGAGGGGAGGGAGCGGGACAGCTGCTGCTGCTGCTGCGCCTGATGGAGGTGCAGCAGCTGCTGCTCGTGTTGCTGCTGCCTATACTTGTGTTTCCGCTGTTGCTGCTGCTGCTGCTGCTGCTGCTGTTGCCAGTGCTGCTGTTGCTGCTGCTGCTGCTGCCGCTGCACCTTCTAGGCCCTTCTGAAGACACTGCAGCAGCAGCAGCAGCAGCAGCAGCAGCAGCAGCAGCAGCAGCAGCAAGCTGCTTGCGGCCCTCAGAGGGGGGATACAAAGGAACAGCCAGAGCTAACGNTGCTGCTGCTGCTGCTGCTGCGATGCTGGCGGTGGGCGCCAAGCGTAGATGAACCGCTGCAGCAGTTTTGTTGTTTTGCTGCTGCTGAGAGCTGACTCGTGCTGTAGCAGTTGCTGCTGCTGCTGCTGCTGCTGCTGCTGTCGTTTCTGCTGCTGCAGCTGCTCTTGCTGCTGCTGCTGCTGTTGCTGCTTGAGCGCCGTCTGCTGCTACTGCGGCTGCCGCTTTCACTGCAGCAGCTGTCGTTGTAGCTGCTGCAGTTGCTGCTGATATAACTACTGCAGCTGTTCCCGCTGTATCTGCTGCAGCAGCAGCAGCTGCTGCAGCAGCTGTTGCTGCTGCTGCTGCTGCTGCTGCTGCTGCTGCTGCTGCCTGAGAGAGGGAGAGAACAGTGGAGGCCCGTCATCTGCCACGTGCGTGTAGGAGGTGGGTGCGATAGATTTGCTGCTACCTGCTGCTGCTGCTGCTGCTGCTGCTGCAGCAGCTGCTGCTGCTGCTGCTGCTGCTGAGTGTATGTGAGGTCTTCTGGAGGCAGCAAAGGAACAGCAAAAGAAGTTCTCCGCTGCTTCGCTTTTTTGTTGAGGGTTTGCTGCTGCTGCTGCCAGTGCTGCAGCAGCTTCGTGTGCAGCAGGCTGTGGGTTGCTGGGGCCTTCTGGGGGGGTTCAGCAGCAGCAGCAGCAGCAGCAGCAACAGGGACCTGCAGCAGCAGCACCTGCTGCTGCTGCTGCTGCTGCTGCGGAGCAGGTGCTTGCTGCAGCAGGAGACGGGGGGAGGGCTGCTGCAGCACTGCAGCAGGAACAGCAGCAGCAGCAACAGGTGTAGCTGCAGCAGCAGTATCAGCTAAGGGTACCGGTATGAGGATTTGATGCTGCTGTGTTTGCTGCTGCTGCTGCTGCTGCTGCTGCTGCTGCTGCTGCTG